GCCCACCCCCCCCTGCACCGGGGCTCCATGTTAAGACCCAAGAACAGACATGACTAAGCTGGTATTCACATGACACATGAAATGTTTCTCCAACTCCCACACCTCCATCTCCTAGAGCTTCAATTTGTGGCAAAAACTTTTACTTTTTTGGGGATAATGAGCAGCTGTGGAGGACTGGAGATAGCATGCTTTGTATTTCCATTGCTTCAACCTCCACTCCTCAATCTTCTGTTTCAAAGCCAAAAGGAAAAGCAGAGCTTTTGGGGGTGAACTCAGGTGTGTTAGAGATGTTCACCTCTGGCCAAAAGTCTCACAACTCAAACACTCTCAACACAAGTTTGCCTAAATTTTCACAGGGGGAAAGCAATGTACCAAACTGCACAGTAGCTCTGGCCAGACACAGCGAACGAGAAAAACACATTAATTGATAAAAACACATTTGCACACATATTCATCTTGACACATCAAAGGGATTCATTGATGTCACTGAACATGGGGAGTCTGCGGCTGGAGAGGGGAGATGTTGGTTATCCTTTTCTCAAAGGGTGCTGAGATGCTCCTGATGGGCCCCGCGCTCGAGAAGCCAGAGAGCGCTATAAACAGAATTTCTAATGTCAGGCGGGCGGGTGGATGGGTTTAGGTAGTGAACGAGCAGAGTATGGGGTAGTGGGAGGAATTGACGCCAGCTCATGCTTTCCACAGAGACCAAAGAGGGAAGGATACAGACCAGGACTGACACCATTTCACACAGTTCTATACATGTGATGTTAGGAAGACAACATGAGCACCCGAGGTCTAAAAAACGAAATGTATGTTCCTGTAGGTTCTCTGTGAATCTACTGAAGCTACAGATTACTATTATGACATCTTCTGATTACACGGTGAGTGATTTGTACATATTCACTCACTGTGAATATCTATAAAACGTATTTTACACAGGTTTTATTTGCTCACACAATTGTTGAAATATGCAACAACTGTGATCAATTCAAATGCTTTTATTTTAAAATGTAGAGCCAACAAACTCAAACTAAATCATGATTAATGTAATATTTAATTTTTTTGCAACATTTTATTTCCTCAAGCCTGAGTTCATTACCAAAATGAATCACTCCAGGCAAGAGCTCTCAGGCAGCGATGGCATTTCTGTGTTTGCCCTCAACCTCTTTGTAATTGTACAGTGCCACTACATTGATGTAGATGTGTTTGCCTTTGAAGGAAAAATCTTTTAAAAACTATAAACCTAGTCAAAAAATGTTCGCTCTGTTGACACAGTGCTCGGTTGAAAAAATATTTGTGCGCTAACATTCAGGAATACAACACTGAGGGTTGTCAGAATGTGAGCCCTGCACACTGTTCCCTCTGTTGCAAAGCAGAGCCTCACCTGAACAACCCCCCCCCCCTCCACCTCAACCCCAACACTCACAGACTTTACACACACAAGCATGCAGCAGGGATGCTTGTGTGCACATTCACACACGCACGCAGCAAGGTGAGCGAAACGCCAAGCGAGCCAACTGATGAAAAGACACCTCCACACAAACAGCGTTTGCTTATGCAGGGAGAGGCCCTTTTATTCAGAGGGACAATGTCTGTGTTGACTTTTTCTTTGTCCGAACATTTTTAAGCACCAAAAGCAGGAGAAAGAACGGGGGAAAAAAAAGGAAGTCAGAGAGGCATGCAATCGCAGCCACAGACATGTTCAGACTCATACAAGCTCGCCATTCATATCTCGAAACAATTTTATTTTCAACAATCATGCTCCGGAGTTGGAGTGTCCCACTGCGTATTTGATGAAGATATATTTGAGCGGCTAACCTCGCTCTCGCGTACGTGTCACCTCTCACACACAAGAGGCATTTCACTCTTTGGTGACGATGATGATGTACTAGCAGAGTTATCTAAAAGTGCTGATGAAGCTGACGAGAGGTGGCGTCAAGCGGAGTGTGTGCTCACCAATTGAATCTAGCACTAGTCTGTCACTACGGGAACAATGCGGCGATAATCACATTAATGAATCGACAAACAATAAACTGGATTTGTCGGGCTGGCTGGGTGGGGAACAAAACTCTCTCCGGCCCTGCACACCGCAGCGGGCAGTAGTCTGGTGGAACATCTCTGAAAACATAAAACCTCCTCCTCAGCTCTCAGTGGATTACAGCAGAATGTCAGCTCTGAGCAGGCTTTAAATCAGTTATGCTTGGCCCTCAGGGGAACTGAGCCCATGTAGGCCTGTCTCTCATTGCTCATGATAGGGTTGCCACATCCAAATTTAAAAGTTGGGCCCCAAACCCTTCATCATGTTGCGCATTAGAGAGTGAATCACTCCACGATGACTCTTGAGCAACATCTCGTATATATTATTGAGCAGCGTGTTCTTTTAAATGCTGGTACGTGCGGAATATATTCATTACACTTGCTTGAGATTACTTTATTATTACGCAAAAAAAAAATTTAAAAAAAGATGCCGGAAGGGGCAGTTGTAAAAAGATACACCCAGGAAACAGAATAACTCACACACATGCACACACATTGTTCTATCCTTGATTACAAAAATACTTACACTTAATACTTAATACTACACTACGCTACGCTCAAAGTTAAGAAACTGGAACCCAGAAATGAAAGCAGAGGGTTCTACCGGCCTCGCATTACATGATCTGTTTGAGAGCCATAACTGAAATGTGTCTCGCGCAGCTGAAGTACAACCACACACCACACCACACTTAGAAAACAAATATTTCAGTCCCAACTGGGCTTTCAAGAAACACACCACAGTAAACTCTGATTGTTTTGTGAGAAGTTACAACACAAATAAGGTTAACCTGCGGGCACATTTCAATCTCACAAGCCAATCAGTGTATTCTTCAGAATGTTGATGATGCATGATAAATGCTTAAACTAAGTTGTTGGCCATGCCGTGGGTGTGGGCCACTCGGAAATATCATCCGACTGTATCGAACTAAATCCACAGGTGTAAACAAACCGAACCCTCAGAATGCGACCCTAAAATGAGGCTAAATCGAACCGCCCATCAATCACATTCACTGCGTTCACACTAAGCCACGAGCAACATGGAGGACCTTAAGACGCCTGCTAAGTATGCCAGCCATTGTCTGCCTGCATGTTTTCTGCCACGCTGATGATTGACACAGTCAGCTCACTCTGTCCCATTGACCTCATTCTTTTCTTTTTCTAATATGGGGGATTATACCTCTGAATTTCAAATCCTCCTCAATTATTTGCTACTTTGCCTTAAGTAACAAGAACAACGGTTTTTAGTTTTCGACTTTGCTTTGCTCGACATAAACACACGGATTGAGAGGCTTTCATACCAGAGACACAAGACACAACAAAGCAGAGACTATATAATAGGCTGCTAAAATGCGCTCAATTACTTAAGTCTGTTAGGTTTGCTCCTTGAATTTAACAAACACATCTACTAAAGTTTCCTGCTAAAACTCCTTAAGAAAAAAGCACAAAACATTGTGAAGCATTCCTGCATGTTTATCTCTTAGATTATTCCTACGAAACTCTGGTGGCCAAAAGCAACAAGATAGACGATCTACACGCTGGTATGTATCACCTTGTCTGAGCAGAGCAGCCTTTTAGTTAATGAGCCCCGATGGAGACCTCCAATGAAGCCATCAAGACTGCCCAGAATAACAATGGTCAACTAACGCCTTTCTAATTGAATGGAAGGTAGAGGGAGGCGAGGGGAGTGGGCCTGGATCAGTGAAAAGGAGACAGAGAAAAAAAAAAAAAAAAGGGGGGGGGGGGGGGCTTTTCCGTCAGATGCCTGCCAGGCTTTAACGAAAGTACTTGTTTTTTGGGGGGGATGTGACATGGATTGGGGGATGGACGAGCTCAGAGGAACACAGCTCTCCAGCAGGGATTATTTCAAGGAAGTTTGCATAGTTAAATTGTATTTCGTAGGTTACAGTTCCAAATATTGTTGTTTAAATTGCATAAAATGTTGCATGTTTTTGGGGGATTTGTATTTGTTGTCACTACCGATAACACGTTCTTTGACCCTAGTTTTTTTTATCATTACCATTCTTATGTCAATTCATTATTCTTGTTTGCAGCATTGTTAACTAGTATTGAATTATTTTAAGGTCTCTGTGTTTTTTTAACCTGCTGTAAAGGCTTATGTTAAATATGTGATAAATAGGGTTTATACTGGAGAAACCAATGCAGCAATAACCTCAGTACGGGTTAAAAGCCCTTTCCGGGCTTCGTGGACAACTGATGTGATGCAACAAGTAAATGAATGTGAACTCTTCATAAACAACTGTCAAGCTCATCTAGACTTTTAAAAATAAAGTCTCTGGACAGCTGTCATGGACACTGCAGTGAAATGCCTCCCATGTGTGTCAAAGCGAGGTATTACATTGTTGTTATGGGGATATCACTCTAGGAACAGATTCTTTTTTTTTTTCATTTTTCTGCAGAGAATGTGTGCAAACGGAGTTACCAGCTTGTACACTGACAAAAAGCGTTCTTTAAAAAACACAAGCACAAAAGGAAAAGCAAACAAGGGACGAACCTAAAAATATCTTGTAATTATAAAAACACATTTTAGAAGAATATTAGCCTCTACCCTGCAAAATGTAAGAGAAAGCACATAAGATAGCTTAAGGCAAGTTCACTACTATGTATATAATCAAGATGCAGCATGAGTGTTGCAGCGTACTTTCGACAAGGAGTTGCCATAAATCATTCAAAAACAGAAAAATAATGACGAATGAGTCTGAACTTTGAGCCGAACGAAAAGTTGTCAGATGCGAGTCATGTTGAGGAGTGGTTGGCATGGAAAAAATGTATTTCCCCCAAAAGAAGAACAAAGAAGTAGTTAGTACTCCTTGAGAGGCCACTCGGAGGGAATATGGCGGTCTGGAAGTGCACAAGGAACTTTTACGCACGGGCAAAGTTTTTGCAGAGTGCGATTGAAACGAGAAAAGTAGAGCAAAGAGCAACAAATCTACCGGGACACTTACTGTTCTTGCACTCGGAGACAGTGAACCGTTTGATAGGTAAGGATTGGTGAGGTCTGGGATCATGAGAAACGGGTAGCCAGGATAGTGAGGACTCTTAAAAAAGCCACCATCTTGCTGTCTCCTCAACGCTGCAGGGAGAAAGAAAAGTCAGGGTTGATGAAGGCACAAATGCGACATATTTGCCAGCTATATCCCATGCAGCACTGCGGGTGTTTAGTGTTTTACCTTCGTTGAAGTAGTCTCTTGCTTTCTCATAACTTTCTAAGTCGGGTCTTGTTTGGGGGCGCCTCTCTGCTTGCTGACAAGGGGAGAAATACACACACACACACACACACGGAGGGGAAGAAACTATTGAAAACTTGGAACAGCATTATATCGTATTTTTCTTCGCGCTGAGCAGCGTGGAGACGGTTTTATATTCGCAGTGTCCTTACCTCCGAGTCGGATGAGCTGCTGTTGTTTTCTGACTCGTTCACTAAGGAGGACTTCACATCATCCAAATCCCTGTCCGCTGACACATTTTCGGATATCTTCTCCTCTTGCTCGCCTTCGTCTTTAAAAGATATCATCTCATCATTGGCCCCCAAATCATCCCCACCACCTCCGTTCAACTGTGGCATTTTTGCAGAATAGATAGTATCGAGGAGAGGGCGAAAACAATGGCAATAACTATTGACTTTTTGTTTTAAAAAAAAAGATCAGCGTATAGTCCAAACGTGTCACTGGAGTAGTAAACTAACTACAATAAATTGTTCATGTTTCAAAAAACCCTTATCATCCTCTGAACGTGCTCCCGCGGTCCATGACGAGCCTTGCGATAATAATCCACAGTTAAAGTTACGACAGAGTTGCAAAATATTGATGGATATTTGGCGTCGGCGGCCGGATGCGCAGAAACTTGGCAAAGTTTGGTCTCCGTCGCAGCTTGTGGACAACTTGTGGCCCCTGTGTGTCTGTCCTTGTTGTGCTGCTGAGGAATGGGACTCTCTCTCCTCCTCCTACAGAGCCCGGATACCACATAAACTACCGTCCAGGCGACCGAGAGGGTTACTCAAGAGCAGGAAACACGTCCGATTTCATCTCCTAATATCCATGTGTGAGAAAACAATGGTTCGCGTTTAAAAAAGAAAAAAGAAAAACACGAGACGGTCAGGCTGCAGTTTCCTTCACTTCTCACTCGCTTCTTTTCCTCGCAAAGAACCAGCGATCGCTGTTTTTTTTTTTTTTTCCGAACAATGTTTTATAAAACAGCAATGTAACCGGATGTAAAAGTATCTGAAAATGTTCAACTGGACGTGGTCGCCCTTTCCCTCCACATTGCTGCCGGGGAATGCGCCCTGAAAAACTACTTGGTTGTTCAAGTGGAAGAAAAGCGCAGCCCGTCCGTAGGGGGAGGAGCGAGCAGTGAAAACCGACACTTCATTCACCAGCATGTAGATCAGCTATTCGTTCTTCCACTCAAGCCACCAGCACACAGCCAGCACACCACGCACTGGAACGAGGGAGGGTTTGTACAAGGAGAAATACAGTAAGCAAATAGATTACAGACAGAGGTGCTATTCATTATGAAGATGATTATTGTTATTACTGTTCATGTAATATATATATATATATATAGATATAAAAAAGGAGAGAAACGCCAATGTTGCCTGCGTTTGAGATGGAACACAATTTATGTGTTTCCCTTGTTTAAATAAACTTGAGCAGCAGTCTATCCTGCACTGTAACCAGCTGATATCTCCACTATTGTCAGGGCAAGAGACCACACTGCCTCCATCTGTGTGAAAATAACACACGGATTTAGTGAGAAAGTCATAATTACACACTGCCATGTAAATTGCACGGCTGCGTGTCCTGAAACACTACGCTGGGAAAGACAAAGCTCAATAACACCTGGGATAAGCAGTGGCCCATTATGGCACAACTGTACACATGACAGTGAGGCAACAAGCCTCTGAACATCCAGGCCTCGTATGACAGGACAAGCCTCACTTTTCTCTCTCTCTCTCCGTCTTTCTCTCTGACTGATATACATGGCCCCATTGTTGTTTTGAGGAGCAGGATTGGAGGCCTGGTTTTACAAGCGTCTTGGAAGAAGGAAGAAGGGAGGTTACAACTTTTTTCTTAGTTCCTGCACAGTAACCTGCACATGAATTTTAATCTTGACTTGGAGATGTGTTTTTAAATTAATGAAAAAGAATTCTTTCCTCATAAAGCATCCAAAGTTTTTAAAGTTTGGTGTAACACATAAGTTAGCTGCTACTCTTGTTTCCCTGAAGCTCTTTTAGAACATTTTCTATATCTCCACCTGTCTCACTCCAAGTCCAATGGACCTCAGACTTCTCTCTACTTCTGATGCCATTCGACAGGCTTCCCCCGTTTGAGAAAAGAAGTCATTGATGTTGTCGACTGCGTGTCAGCAAGCTGAGGGTTGACTGACAATTCAGCAGTGTCTCCACGGGCCTCATTAGATCCACACTCCTCCTGGGTGTTAGTGTGTGCGTGCGCGTGTCAGTGTGTGTATTTGTATTCAGTTAAAAAGCAACACATAGCATTGCATACTGCACCTTCTATGAACTGCATTGTGGTTATGGATAGTGGGTTTATCATACACAGAGATACAAATGTTTGCACTTGCATGCACACACAGGTGAAAAATTGCCCTCGGGGCTACACATCATTGTTGTTCTGTGATACAGTATGCAGAGAATGCATTCTCCAAATGAGGCACAGACATGTTCGTTCACATTCGTGATGCAATCCTTTAATATAGTTTCCTATATATTTTTTCTTAGCGTATAAAATGCCAGAGATGTAATGGACTGTGCGTGTCCCGGCATGTATAATTACAACCATGCAGTGCTCATGCACCATAGCCGTATGAATGATTAATAAAGAAATCAAATATTAAAACAAGTCAACACAAAAAAATAATAATGACATGCATAAGCAGTTGCTGAACAGGAATATCTCCTAAATACTGACACTTCTCACACAGGCACAAGTTTCAGCAGTGTGCTATTAAGCACCATTGGCATGCAGTAAGTAGACTGTTGTTCACAGTAAGCTGTAACAGCACAGTGAGACATAACAGTAATGTGATAAATGTGAAAAAAAAAGAAATCAAGTGTATCTGAAATGTTTTAATCCAAAGTGAGAAAGCCACCAATTCAAAAATAAAAGGATGCCTATTGTTACAAAATGGCTGCAGGCGTGAAAATAAAGCACAGTTATTGTTTGCTTTTAGCTTTGCTTCGAAGAAACTTAATTGTTACACATATATATTTACTGAATGATAATTCCAGGTGTTTTTAATGTGCTTTGTGTTGGTACGAAGCCCCATCACTTGCTTTAATTTATTCATCAAAGCAGCTGCAGCCTTTGCTCTTTAGAAAATCTGACAATCGAATATTTGATGAGAATTAATTTCTTCATATAATACATGAATTTTTTCCCCCTTTAGATTTACACATGTATCGCACTCTTCCCTCTACGTTTGCTTTTTTGGAGTGGGATTGGTTTTAACTGGAAGTTGATGAGGGGTCAGGAGAGATGCGAACAGCCACAATCTTAGCCTGGGGGCAGATCGACTGGTGGCCAGAAAATGTATTCAGAGGGTGCTGTCCCTGCATCTGCCTTACTTTGAAGTTGCTCTCTCAACTCTGGCTTGTCGTACGTGACAGTGTGTTAATTTCCCCCCCGAAAAAGCAGAGATGGAGCACTCGTGTGTGTCGGTACCCGTGTATGTGTTTCCACATGTGGTGTGTGTGTTCCTGCCGGAGTGTGCCCGGGTTGTATGTGTTTGTGTGTGTGTGTGTGTGTGTGTGTTTGAAAGAGTGGAAGAGGGAGGAGAGAGGGAGAGATGCTGTGTGCCAATCCATACTCGCTTTGGAGAATTCAAGGTCATTCTTTCATGTTTTGCCAACCATCGGTCAATCAGTTTCCAATCAAAGTGGTGCTTAATTCAGCAGTAATTCCCATCTCCTCATCACGTTTTCGCCTCACTGTTCCAGAGGCATTAAAGCATTTCCCTTGTCTTCTCTCTGATCTTGCTGCAGTGTGTCCAACATGTCTTACCAGGGCCAAACCCGCCCTGTCAAGCTCTCTAATAATACTAAAGTGTGAGGAGGACATGTCAGATCACACAATGTGCTACTGCTGCTTCCATCTACGTGTCTCACTTGATTGTCTTTGAAGCGTACCCAAATCATGTTATTTCTTTAATCCGATGTGTCCTCCACAATGTCTCCATTCATTTTTTTTGTACAGCTTGAATTTCTGGAAATAAAGCAACTATTATAATAGATGTGGCCTCATACTGTTGTATATATGATGCTGCCATTGTTATAAGATGCTTCATATACAGAATGTAAAACATATTTTTTTATAGTGTTTTTATGTTTAAAAAAGACAGATTTAAGGGTTTCAAATCATTCAATCTGCCACTGATGTGGAATTATCCATTAGATCCATATATTTTTTAAACATCCTTAAATTCCCCTCATATGACCCCATTTTATAGACATAAAGTGCGTACCAACCTTCTTTCAGACAACACAGAAGGATCAACAGATTTAAAAGGACGAAAACGAAAACATTTGACTTTTCAACCAAAGGGCAGGATCCACTGCAGATGGATTTACACAACTCTTTTGCATCACCACTATGCCATATTAGCTCACCTCTTCAGTCATCACACTAAGTCTGGATGGGAGTGCCTCATGCAATCATGGATCGCAAAAAAATAACCTCATATCCGTTTTAATCCACAGAAAGGTCTCCTTTCCAGGCTGGTATGGGCGTATATGGCATTTAAGACTGTGTAAGGATATGATTAGATGACAGTTTTTACTGCCTTGTGGGTGTAACTGAAACACTAAACTGTGCAGAGAAGAAAAAAAATAAAAGACTTTGTTGCAAACTTTCCTTGCCCTTTTCCTTCTTTCTTGTGTTCTGTTGCATTTGTAGTATCCTTTTCCTGAAAGGTCCAGGAAGTGTTTGGTTGCACAAAAAAACACTCCAAGACGGCTTTATGAGGAAATGGATGTTGACTGTGTTTTTTTCTATTTGATCAAATCTAATTATTATTTAATTCAGAGAGATACAGATTGAATTAACACATATATGACCAGTGCTTGAACCGCTTCGACTCGTAAATACAATAAATGAATGAATTAATGAATGCTGCCTTAGCAAAAGCTAATCAATGAGGCTCTTCCATATAGTTTCCATAAAGGGTGCAAAGGGTGCAACATTATGAGACCCAAAAGACATCAAACATGTCCGAGTCCTCCAGCTCCGATTTACATGGTTGCTAGGAAGTGCTCGCTCACGCCTCTTGACTGAAATACATGTTCATGTTTTTCTGTATTGCAGAGGATGCTTTTAAGGAGCATTATTTCTGAGAACTTCAAAGCCTGCCAAAAGCACTCTCCTTTTGGAGTGTGCAGCAGCTTGAAAATGTACTTATATTTTCCAAATGGACAGGAAGAGGCCCTTACTGGTATTGAGGTGATGCTAATGCATTGTGGTGCTAGTTTTTCAGCGTAACTCGTTTTACAGCGCAAAAATACGGTCCGTAATAAAGTACTGTTAATCTTTTATAGGGTTTATTTCATATTAACTTTAATTTCCCATCATTTAAAATTCAAGAGGACAAATATACTCTTTATTTAGCTGTGTCTATATGGAAATGTGTCTTTTATGGCTTAAGGGAAAAAGCAAGCACAGTCGACAATGCCAACAGGTCCTCGTGGACACTATTTACTGTGCACAGCTCTGTGGCTACATCATTGTCCACAAAGCCTGAGTCAGACTCTATCCACATGCTGCATCCAGACGTTCTGCTATCGCCTGGTTTTATTGATCCAGTTAACATCGCTCACAAGGTCACAGTCTTTGACTGTCTGTGTTTTCTCAGCTGAGGATGCATTGCAGCGCTCCTCGGAGGATTGGAGATTCTTTCCTGCGATATAAAACCCTGCCCAAGTGAGAGGCTGTTGACTTTATTTAATATGTCCACCAGATTTTTTTTTTTTATGAGCTCAACGCAAATGAAATGGTTTGCATTATGCGTGAACCATACGTTCCGCAGAGGCATGCACGGCTGCAGACAGCTGGAAGTAACTTGAGCCCCTCGGTCACTTATCAGCCCTGGCATCCCTGCCATTTCCCATAGCCATCTTCAAGCCAGAAGAATCCAGCCATTGTTTTCATCTCTGTGGGCCCTGTGTTAACTCAGCAGTGCCTCGCTGATTGTTGCAGAGATATTAAAGAAAATGGTAGATTTGTCTTTGTCCATATAACCCTGTCTTGTGACATCCAAGCTCTATGTGCGTCTGTGCAAGTATGTGTGCTGAGGGGGTTCTACTCGATGCAGTTCTAGAGAGCAGCTGCA